ACACCTGAAACTTATCCTCCTTTTGCAAACATTTGCTGACTTTTGCGTTATCTAGATTTGCACATTGATGAAATCCTTGTTTTTTTAACTCCTACTATAACTGACGGGGTGAGAACATCAACATTTATGTAAGTTTACCATGTTTCTTGGGTTGCACATCACATGTGCAGCAAGTGTCATCATGTCCAGGAGCAGACTGTTCTCTTCGGCAGGCAAGTGTGATCCCATCAGTGTTTCTGTGAGAATGACAGTGATGTGACGTTCATGAGCGAATCCAATCTTTTGAACGGGTTTTCAAAGTGAACGATACGAGCAGAGTTCCTGTAAGAGCCGTTCATCTTGTCTTCCAGTAACTAACCTCCCGGGAGTCGGTAAAGCGCACCCGCTAAACCCCCCCCCCCCCCCCAGATAAATGTATTTTTTATTCCGTGTTACTTGGATGGGCTAAACAAGTTCAGACTTCTGGGTCACTGAAGTGTCACTCAAGAGAAACCACTGCATATGGGAGAGGACTTCTTAGAAGTCCCACCCACCCGAAAGGGTTGTGTCAGAATTGCAACCAAAAACACAGGAGTTGCAAACGAGAAAGCCAGAAAGTGTAAGTGCAAATCTGGTAGCGAGAGCAAAGCTCTGAACAGCAAGAATGAAACAAAGGAAATTGATAACAAAAATGCATAGAGGCTGAAAGAAAAAGGAAACATGCTTTATTACTCATTTTAAGAAGTTGATTCAGATAGTAAATTTTACTTTTGAAACAATTTTTTTTTCCTTCAGTAAATATTTTTCCTCTCTCAATGTCTTGATATTTGATTGATCTGCAAAGTGTTTTTCTTGATCCTGTTGGCACAAATCTAATCCCATAGAGAGGTGGCAGAGCACAGGAGGTGTGAAGGCACCGACGTGTGGGGTTTGTCTGCAGCCTGTGTGAGAGAGCAGCCAATTCTGCTCTGTCCGAGTTTATTTGAATTTCTCTGACATGTTCAAGATCTGTCTGTGGATTTGAATCCTCTGGTTGCTTGTCGGTACTCATGAGCACAAACAGAACCATGATTAAGGTTAGAAAGTTAAAGGAGCAATATGTGAAAATTTTACAGTGAAATAATCACAAAAGAGTCTGAAGTCTAAATCATTTAGGAAGAAAGGTTACATTGAAACAAATTTTATTCTAAACCTGCTGGGCAGTTGTCAGTTTTCCTCCTTTAAAAAAAACTGAAAACAAATGCAAAGGAGGTACGTAGTTAGTGGGTTAGAAGCAAATAGCTCTAAAAATATTTCAAGCTAATTTTTCAATGACCAACAGCTCAATATTACAGGTAAGTGTGTGTGTGTGTGTGTGTGTGTGTGTGTGTGTGTGTGTGTGTGTGTGTGTGTGTGTGTGTGTGTGGGGTGAATAAGGAGTCAATCGTGGCATTTTACTTCTTTATTGACTCGTTCAGAACTATAACAGCCAGAAAAAATAACCACTCTTCCTCTAATGCTGTAGAATTACCGTAATAAGAGTAGTAAGTGCTCCCCACCATAACACACCCACACATGACGATGCATTCAAATACTCATTAATGTACTGTGTATGATTCGTTTAGACTTTTTGTTCTTATCATCTAGAATCTTCTGGCGCTGATCCGTAACTGGCAACAGCCATGAAACTCACACTCAAAGTCACTTTTTGTTTAAAAAAATGGACTGCAGTAACCAAATTTGACCGCAGGATGTAATTCTTACGTCATTGTTACATGTTGCACCTTTACATTACAGGTTTGATTATTATGAAGGACTTAATTGATTAGGTCTAGCTTCAGATTTATTTAGGTCTTCTTTCAGTGACTAACCCCTGAATCTAAAGGTGACAGAACTCAATAATTTTAATTCTGTGAGGAAAGATTTCACAAGTGGTCAATAATGATAATAAATTCCTCCTTTGCTGCAGAAATAAATTCTTGTTGGAGACATTTGGATCCAAACAAATGTCCTCTCTTCTCACTTTGGACCTCTAGCCGAATTCAAAGTTTTCATTATTGCCATCCAAAATGAAGACGTGTGGTTGACAGGAAACGTCCAGATAGATTGTTTGGCAGAAAACTACCGATGGCCTCAGCCTGTTAACTCTAATCCATCACTGTAGGTGTTGCTGTTATTTATCAGGTGTGAGCTCTCCTGTCCCACCTGCATTTATGTAACTCTGTTGGCTTAGTGTAGTTTTTGGGTTTTTATTTAGTTTTATGTACGTTATTTCTGCTTTTTATGGATGTCTTGCAACAGAAAAACTTCTATGTCTTTAGAACTAGTCAGGGGTGTTAGTGGCATATGATTTAAATGCAAAAGTCACATTATAATCAGTTGCTGCATGCTTTATTGGCTAGATTTGCTGTGAATTACGTCTATTTCAATCGATCAATATGAGAGAACATTTCGAACACACCCACAGGCTGAGCCG